TGTTTATCCTCAACTGGAAGAACATGACTCGGAAGAAGAATGATTTCGATAGTTATGTCTTTTGTATTAGTTAAGTATGCACATGGTAGACATTTTTGTTAGCACCTCAATGTGTCTTAGACTTTTCTTTTGTTAGTTAGTACCTTAACTGTCCATGTATATAGGCCTTGGTACCCTTCTTCACAAATTGCTATTATTAAGATAGGTCACCATGGGTTAGATTGATTTTGGGATGTTTATGTTATTTTGTTGGATGTATAGTTGTTGAACATATTTGAACTTATGTGGTTTAATTGTTGATTAATGAAAATGGGAAGTATTACCTTATAATTGTTATGAGTTGCTATTCTAGATTACGAAACACGAATAAGTAATGGTTTCCTCAAATATTATTCCTAAATAGTTATTTGATTATAACATATGTGTGACATAAGCCGCTTCACCCATCAAAAAGAATATGTGACGATTTCAGCGTCACTTAGTGTAATTATATAATTTTGGGATCATATTGAGTGACCCAAAAAATATCGCTTATAAGTATGATATGAGACGAAAAACATAGGTCACTGAATTTTGTATTTTGTGACGCTAATTTCGTCACATGTTAGAATAATAATGACGGAAGAAGCGTCACCTAAAAGGAAAATATGTGGCGACTCCAATATTCGTCACTTAAACTATCGGTGACGCTGTATAGGTGACGCTAATTGTGATGCTGAAATTTCGTCACATATAGTCAAATGTGATGATTTTTCATATTTATGTGATGAATGTTGGTCGTCACAAAAGCCATGTTTTCTTGTAGTGGTAGTATTCCTAACACATCCTGAACTAGTAGGTTTCCTAAAAGGGTAAATCGTCAAAATGGTCCTTGAGATTTGCATAACTCATCACTTTGGTCCCTGAGATTCCAAATCGATAAAAGTGGTCCCTGAAATTTTTCAGCATCCATCATTTTGGTCCTTCCGTTAAAAACTCCGTTAAGTGTCCCGGAGCTCTTGGTCGGAAGTTTGGGCAATTTTCAAAGCTTCGTAACTCAATCGTTTCTTAACCAAATTCGACCCATAATATATCAAAATGAAGATAGGAAAGTGTAGAATAAGATTATACCTATTTCGAAGCCTAATGGTTGCCAGAGATTGCCGGAAAATAGCCTCAAAGTTGACTGGTCCGAGTGAAAACTTGAAAACTCGCCGGAAACTGGGTAAACTTTAAACGTTCATAACTTCTTTAATACTCAACGGAATCAAGTGACTCAAACAAAAAAATATCATAATGCTTGACGCGAAAAAGATAATGGTACCTTTTATGACAGCTAACTCGCCGTGGTTTGGCCGAAAAACGGCTTGAAAGTGGTTGTCTTGGTCTCGAGTTAGCCACTTTCGAGTCGTTTTCCGGCCAAACCATGGTGAGTTAGCCATAAACAAAGGTACCATTCTCTTCATCTTGTCCAGAAGTATGATTTTCATTTTTGAATCACTTGATTTTGTTGAGTATTGAAGAAGTTATGAACGTTTAAAGTTTACCCAGTTTCAGGTGAGTTTTCAAGTTTTCACTCGGACCAGTCAACTTTGAGGCTATTTTCCGGCCATCTCCGGCAACCATTGAGCTTTGAAATGATATAGTCTTATTCTACACTTTCCTATCTTCATTTTGATATATTATGGGCCGAATTTGGTTAAGAAACGATTGAGTTACGAAGCTTTGAAAATTGCCCAAACTTCCTGCCAAGAGCTCCAGGACACTTAACGGAGTTTTTAATGGAATGACCAAAATGATGGATGGTGGACAATCTTAGGGACCACTTTTATCGATTTGGAATCTCAGGGATCAAAGTGATGAGTTATGAAAATCTCAGGGACCATTTTGGCGATTTACCCTTCCTAAAATGAGTAGTAATTTTAGCAGGATACTCGGAATTAAGCTAATTTCCTAATGCATCCTGGACTAGTATTCCTAAAACCGTCATGAATTTGTTTGATTTCCTAACTCAAACTGGATTCCCCAAACTCAAGTCCGTTATATAATATATGGGGGTTCTGCTCTTTCCGTTCACTCTTTACAAAGCATCGTGACCATTCATTGAACAATGTTTGGAAAAGTATACTACGGTCGCCACATAAAGAGAAGAACAATATCGCCAAATTGGTCTGACCTCCGACCTGAAATATTAGAGTTAATAATGAAAAATCGCTCCTTCTGCGACATGCTTCAATTTAAATCCGTTTGTTCTTCTTGGAATCACGCCATGAAATGTTATTATGCTGCATTGCTTCCTCAAACTTCTCCATGGCTAATGCTCCCTAGTGATCCAGAAAACGTTCATAACGATAGTAGCTCTCGTTGTTTCTACAGCCTCAAAGAAGATAAAGTTTACACTGTCAAGAACGTGTTAATGTCATGATGCCTGGTGTGTTGATTCATCACACGGTTGGCTGGTGATCATGGACAACAACGCAGTCCCACATCTTCTTAATCCTATTTCGCTGTGTAGAATTCAACTCCCAAAAATATGGTCTCTGCAAAATTGCCCCAGCAATCCTGACAGCATTGAACAATTGCGCATGATTTTTATTTGCAAATCTGTCCTCTCCTCCGACCCTTCTTGGAACGGCAACTTTGTTGTTGTGATAATTTATGGTGTGTTATCTTCAAAACTTGGATTTTGTAAGTACGGGGAGAAGGGCAGCAGATGGAGAGGCTTAGAACGTGTGCATGGAGAATATTGTGATGATATTTTTCACAAGGAGAAGTTGTATGCATTGGCGGGGGATGGCTCGGTCGAAGTGTGGAGGGACTTCAACAACTCCTCTCTACTCCCATCAAAACTATGAATCTTCATCAACCATTTTTAGAGCTAGAAAATGTAAATCATATAATTAAGGACTTTTCCAAGGACAAATATTCTACTCAGACTTACTTGGTGGAGTCTTTGGGTGAGATTTTGTCCGTGGAGCGAGTTATCGGCAACTTTGTCAACCATGAGGGCACGGCTATTCTTGAGGGGGATCTAGATGAGTATGGTTACTTCTGTCCAGCGTGCTAAAAATCGGTCTAAGCGGCCGCCTTGGTGGCACCTAGGCGCTGGGCGTTGGCCAACCGCTTGGATTAACTCTTAATCGGGAGAAAAATCAAAGAACGGATTAGATGGGCGCCTTAGGTGGCCTGGGCGGGCCTTAGTCGGCCTGGGCGGACCTTGGGCAGCCTAGGCGGATGATTAGTGGGCCTAGGCGGTCTGGAATTTCAATTTTTTTTCTTCTTTCAAACTTAAGAAAGGTTGAGTGCAATGTGTTATGTAATTTCTGGGTTTGCTAGTTTTGTTCTTGCGAAGACAAAACGAGGAAGAAGATGAGTAAATGAAAATGAGTATATGTCTCATCCTCTAATTCTTACGTGACCACCCCTAAACTTTTCCCATTTAATTTATTTTTTAATTTCGTCCAATCACGTTTGGACAACTAGCATCAAGTTGATCTTTCAAAAAATGAAAATGGGCTGTCAATGCCTAGCATTAAGTTACTATTTGTTGTTTTCATAAAAAACATAGGATGTTAGTCCCCAAGTGTATTTTTGCTAATTGGTGTGGCTCCCCTCTTTATGCGTCTAGTGTCTTATTTTGCTTTCTACACCTACATATTTGACACTTTTATTTGGCTTAAAATTCAATATAAATCAATATGATCTCTAAATATAATTACTATGAACTTGTAATTATTTGAACTTTTATCTTATACCTTAAATTCACAAAAATACTAAAGAAATATAATACATTTACTTAAATCCGCATAGTCCACCTAGGCTATGGTGAGCCGCCTAGAAGCTAGGCCCCAACCTGCCGCCCGACTAGCACCTAGCGTTTTTTAGAACCTTGCTTTTGTCCCTATAGAACATTGCAGTTTTATGTCCTTAAGTTGAATTTCACGGTCAATAAGTGGGAGAAAGTTGAATATTTGCGTGGTCAAGCTTTATTTCTGTGCAGGAATCAATTGATGTCAGTATCGACTCTCTATTTTCCAAACTACGAAGAAAGCTCAATTTACTTCACGGACGATCGATGGGACGAGATCAATTTCAACGCCGACAGTGTTGATCATGACAGTGGTTATTGTGGTCATGATGTAGGAATATACAACATAGGCAACAAAGTCGTGAAGCCAATTTACCAATGTGAGAAGTGGAGAGTTGATCCACCACAAAGGATAGTTCCTACCCATGGTGAGAATAGGTAGTACACAAAATGGATGTGTTATGTAATTGATCTCATTTCTTTTATATATAAATTAATATTTGAACACCAAAATTACTGGAAGAGGGTGAGGTTGCAAGTCAATGTTTCTTTATCCAGCTTTCTAGCATGTAGAGCAATGAAACAACAGCAGGAAGTATAAAAGTAGAAGCCAATCATTTCTAGAATGTAGTTCAAAAGTAGCCGCAAACGCGTCAAATTCAAGAGATGCTTCTACCGTAGGAAGATATACTTTGTTAATCTACAGATCTATGGTGTTTTGGAGAGAGAAAGAATGAGTTCGAGAGTATCAGAGAGATCTTTAAGCTTTCTTGTATTAATTTCTTGATGATTAAGAAATTACATTGACTTGGTATTTATACAATTCACAACACTTCTAACAAACCAACTACCTCTCTAAGATTGTGACACTTGTCACAATCTTACAGTTACAATATATCTCTATCATCTCCCCTCAATCACTTGCTTTGATGAACCAAGCATGTGATTATTACAGTGAATTCTAAACAAGGGTGCACTCAGCCCCTTAGTTAATATATGACACAAATTACACACGAAGTTTCCCTTTTTCTACTCTTTCCTGGACAAAGTGAACATCAATCTCTATATGCTTGGTCTTCTGGTGTTGTACAGGATTGAAGGACAATGCAATAGCTGAGAGATTGTCACAAAACAACACTGGAGAAAAATGCAAGGAAAACTGCAAAAATGTACGAATTTGTTAGATCCAATCTAACTTTGTAGCAGTAGTGGACTATGCCTTATATTCAACTTCAGTAGAGGACTTTGACACTGTCTGTTGCTTCTTAGAGGACCAAGAAATGGGTTTGTTGCCTAGGAAAACCATCAAACCAGTGGTGGACCTTCTATCATTAGGATCCCCTGCCCAATCAGCATCACTAAAAGCCTGCAATCCTCATTCACCTCTAGAATAAGAGATACCAAAATCCATAGTTCCTTTCAAATATCTCAAAATCCACTTCACTGCAGTGAAGTGAGAGATTATAGGTGCCTGCATAAATTGACAGACTTGATGTACAGAAAAAGCTATATCAGGTTTGGTAAATGTTAGGCATTGTAAATCACCTACTACACTTATAGCCTGTTATAAGGTAGACATGGAGTGTCACAAGCTTTAACTTCATTCATTTCAGTCTTGTGAGGCAAGTCCTGAACATATTTGTATTGAGACAAAAATAAAGCATTGGCTGTTCTTGTGATTTGAATGCCCAGAAAGTAGTGTGAAATTGGTACTAGGCAAATTACCCTACAATAAAAACTTTGAAACCAACTGTACTGACTAGTCAAATGTACTAGTCAACTGAGTATAGATTGTTAGGTGCCCACAAGAATATAAACCAAGCAAACTGATACTGCTAAAACAAGACAATGTGATATTCGGTTATGTTTTAGCCTTAATTCTTGATTTATGTTTACTTGGTTAATAAAGAGTCAATACCAAGAAACCCTACAATGTTTATCTCTACAATGGTTATTTGGTCATAAAGGATGCTTTGTAAAGTATTGAACACAAGGAAGTTTTTTGTCGCAAAAACCCACCTTTGGGTTAAAAACCGAGGACTCCCCACTGAGTCCAATCCACTAGTGTAAACAAGATTCTTACAAAGACCACACAAGCTCAATTCCTAGGTCTCTATTTACGAAGCAGCTTTACCTTTGTGTAACCTTGTCTTACATGGGATGAATTCATTCGGTCTTCACAAGATGGTAGCTCCTCCTGAGCTCTTCACCTTATGGTACTAAGATCAACACAATCAATGATATGATGTTATGACATGCTTATGAAATGAGGATTCAAACAAAAGTCAGGTTCTCCAATTAAACATTTGAAGAAAAACCTAACATGAATCCAAAAGGTTGGTCTATGAATACAATGCAAACCTAGTAAGCAATGATTGGGTATTTATGCATGAGATGGTTTTGTGGCTAAGGTTTCGGTTTGGAATCTTACGAGGTAGCTCTAGGCTAAGTGCACTCTTTTTCTTGAAATGTAAATAACCTAGCCAAGAGACAAATGAAACCTTGAAACCTTTTTTAATGGAAGAGCTGGATGTTTCAGAAGAGGAACAAGTGACAAGTGTCACAAGCCAAAGAGACATTTTCAGATGAAGGGTAAGAAATCCACGCATGGGAAAAGGTGTCAGTTGGCCCATATGGGCTATCTTAATTTGCGTGCCCAAACAGCTAGACAACAAAAGGAATTTCTAACTAGACAACTACACTAAACAAAAGGAACTGAAAAAATAAGTTTGATATGCATATGCAAATGTATGAATCAAACCTTATGTAGTGAAGATGACTGGTGCTTTGATAAATTCAATTCCAACAGTAATCCAACATCATCATTGTGCCCTAACTCTGAATTATAAGTATGTGTGGTAACATTTACAATTTTTGACAAAGGAAGGCAAATATTAAACCTAATACTTAACATAGTGAATAGGGCCCAAATCCTTAATATCAAACTCAAAAGTTAAGGCTTTAATCACTTGTTGAATTGCATCAACAACACTACCAATAATGATTATGTCATCCATATAGAGTAGCAAAATCACAATTTGAGAACCAACAATTTTTTTCAAATAATGAAGAGTCTAAGAATGTGTTCTTGAAACCAAGTTGAGGATGAAACTGAGAAAATCGATCATTCCATGCCTTTGGGGCTTGTTTCAACCCATAAAGGAACTTATGAAACTTACAAACCAACTGAGGAGAATTGGGATCCTCAAGATCAAGTGGTTGAGTCATATACACCACCTCCTACAAAATTCTATGCAAAGATGCATTTTTCACATCAAGTTGTCTAAGTGACCAATTAAATTGAGCTATAAGGGCTAGAACAATTCTCACTGTTATTGGCTTAACAATAGGACTGAATGTTTCATTATAGTCTATACCATGCTCCTGACTAAACCATTTTGCAACTAATCGGTCCTTATGCCTTGCAATTGAACCATCAACATGCATTTTGATCTTGAATCCATTTTCAACCCACAAGGTTTTTGTTTACAGGTAAAGAAACCAAACTCCGTGTTCCCTAATGATGTAGTGCCTTAATTTCTTCTTTCATAGCTTGTAGCCAAACTGGACTTTTGAGGGTAGACTTATAAGTATGTGACTTACTAACAGATAAATCAACAGGTTAAGAGGCACTTAATGTAGAAAGTAATGTTTTCTTTTTAATAATTCCACTCTTACTTCTAGTCTACATAGGATGTAAATTGAGAGGTGGTATAGAGAGAATCGCTTGAAAAGTGTCATAGGAATGATCAAGAGCCATAGGACTAAAGAAGTTTACTTGCTGCATTAGTAATGGAGTGGGAAGTGGATGGTGTGGATAGGGCTAAAGAAGTTCACTTGTTGCATCAGTAATGGAGTGGGAAGTGGATGGTGTGGATAGGGTAGGAGAAGATATGTGAGGTGCAGGAATATGAGATTCAGAAGATGGAGACCTCAATGGTGATGGATTTGAAATGGAATGTGTATAAGTGGGTAATGTATTTGTATGTGACTTAACTATAGGTGTTGGAAGTTGCACAACAACATTTTGACATGTAACAACTGGAAAATTACTTGATCCATTATAAGTGATAGAGGGAAATTGCATTTGTTTTGAGTTGGATAGAGCTTCAAATGGTGACTTATTGGATAAGACTGAGGAAGGCATTCTTTTGATGAGATATGCAGTAGTTTGACAAGCAAATGACCAAAACTAGGAAGGTATTATTGTTGTTTGTGACAATGTAATTGTGGTTTCAATAAGGTGCCTATGTTTTCTCTCAACTAACCCATTTTGTTCTGGTGTATATGGACATGATTTCTAATGTAAGATGACTTTGGTTGACAAAAAATTCTGGAATGTCTTACTAATGTACTCACCCCCTCCATCACTTTGTAAAATTTGAATTGTTGCAGAAAATTAAGTACAAAGGAATGAAAGGCAATAAATGTTGCACAAAAATCTGATTTATTGATTAATGGCAAAATCCAGCAATATCTGGTACATTCATCTATTAAGGTAACATAATATCTAAAGCCATCCACAGATAGGCAAGGTGTAGGACCCCACAGATCACTATGCAACACTTCAAATGGTTTTACAAACTTATTGACATTTGTAGGAAAATGGTAACTTGCAAAATTTCCCTTCTAGACAACTTTGACATGTCGCAGATACAAACTCTTTTACATAACTAATATTGGATTTTTGTAACATCAGAAACACAATAGAATTAGTAGGATGACCTAAGATATTGTGCCATAATGTAGATGTGACAAGTTGACCAAGGAAGGCTTTGGTTTTCAAACTACTTTGAGTAGCTGCTGGAAAGGAGTTGCCAGGAAAAAAAATGGGATAGAGTCTATTACTGCACAACCCTTTGTATAGTATCCTCCATGTGGCCTTGTCTTGTATCCAAAAATAAAAAGCATCAAAGATAAGCCAACAATTATTGTCCAAGTATATTCTATGTACTGACAATAAATTATGTGTCAGCTTTGGAACATATAATACTGAATTCAACTTAATCAGATACACTGGTGGTTTGAGAAGAGTGTTATCAATGTGTGACACAGACAAACCTTCATCATTTGCAGTCTGAATGGTTTCATTAGATGGATAAGGAGAAGCTAGAGAAAGGTTGGTCAAATCAGATGTCATATGATTTGTAACCTCTGAGTTAGTGAGCCAAACTTGTGGTTGAGAAGAAGATGGTTGAGACACCATTGTATGCATAGCTTGCATTTGTGAGTCTAAAGGTAGATTGTAACTCCCTTGAGGGCTAAACTAATAATATTGATTTCTGGAACTAGAACCAATGTAATTATGACCCTTCTCTTTGTAAAAATAGTACCAAGTTGAGTGATTGAATTTCCAGCAAATTTGACAGTTAGACCTATCCTGTGATTTGAAACCAAAAAATGCAGCAGAGTGACCCTCAGTATTACACAGTTGACATGTGAGTAATGGTGAAGCTAAAGGTCCTGTGTTGAACTAAGGAGATGGACCAAGAACACCAGGATTTAGTGTTTGTATGACATGAGTTTGAGTAGGGTAATACTGCATAGGCTGAAAGTTTTAAGCCCCTGATTAAATCTCCCCTTGCCCTTGTTTCTATTGTTGTTAAACTATTTAAACCCTACTAAGATAAATCCAAATTGATCAAAATTGGAATGAAATGACTTATTGGATTTATTTTGAAAATTGGAAGGAGGATGATTAGCCACGATTGCAAATAAGAACTGTGTAGTTGTATTAGAGTTAATGAAAGCCTCTTCAGCAAGCAACTGAGACCTAAACTCTTTTAGAGACATAAGAGTCTCTCTTCCTCTAATGATAGTCCTGAATGTGTTATATTCTGCAAGTAAACCATTCAATGCAATGATAGGATTAAACGCACAACACAAAGTAGCACAGAAATGTCCTATTTATTTTTCTTATTAACACTAGGATTTGTCAATTGTTGCATATGAAAATAAGGGTCTTTCCCCTAGAATATTGTTTTGCCTAACTACTTAAAATGTCACAAAAACTGGACTGCTGTTCTTATTGACCAGCCACCGGAAAATAATTATTAGACTAACTTACACTTATCTAAATTCAACGAAATTTTATATGTAGACACTAGACACACAAAGGTACACTCACACAAATTTGGGATTTTTGGAGTTGATTTTCTATTTTAATTAAATCAAACAAAAAGGGGACAAAAACTAATTTTAAATAATAAAAACGGATTGTAGTTCACAAATTAAGAAAGCGAGTTACGGGAATTGCTATCCAGCACCAAATAATCATGCAAATATGTTATGTTTCATTCAAGTTCCTTTTATTTCTGGATGAAGATGTTCAGGTCGGTTTAATGTTAGAACATAACCTATTACTTTTTCTTATGTAGTATGTTAAGAGAATGACATTTTCAACTTAACTTACTCCCTAGCATGCAATCTAGAATGGCGTGTTCATAAATTTAACAAGTAGAAATCATTAAGAACGAAAAGAGTTTGAGTGATCACAAGGCATCGTAAGTACTGGCGTTGTCTTACTTATCCTAGAAATTGGTTCACATGTTAATCGCAATTAACAAGTACTACTCTATAATATATGTAGATCCTCATTCGACAAGGGCATGCACACACATATTCATAGCATTAGAATCCTATATATGCTTACTAAGTATGCATCCATAAAAAAAAAAACACATAAAGAACTCATCACTGACATAAGTAGTGAATCAATTTTCATCTTTCATAAAAGAAATTGAAACGAAATGTCATATCAAACTTGCAATCATATTCGAGGCTTCAAAACAGCCCTTAACTTCTGAAAATTTAGCTATACATAATTCGTGAATTAAACCAAAACAAGACATGAGTTGAGAAGATAAAACCAAAACAAGAAAATGCCAAGATTTCCTCCTTTAGTTTCTCCTTTTATTTGTGCTCTATTTTTTCTATCCTTCCCATCCCACCTTGCCCCTGGGCATTCCTTACCTCTCCCATAACTCACCAAACTTAATAGCCACTTTATTGTCATAAAAGAGAGGAAATGGAAATACAATTTTAACTCCTTGCTAGCCTCTTAGTATTTCACCTGCCATAGCCCTTATATCAATTAATCCTCCACTTAATCCTCATCATTATTTCCAATTTAACTTTGCTAAAACTTCTCTTTCTCTTGATTTGGTGTGATCGGCTGACCATGGAAAATGGGAGAGAATTATGTAGCTTTTTCTTCCTCGTTGGTTCAATCACATAAGCTTGTGATTCTACAAATTGTCATGTGCTGGTGACTTCACCAAGTAATTCCAATAAGTTACCTGCAGACAAGTTAAATGAAAATGATCTAAGCCACATGTATCTTCTAAAGTCAAGTAGTCTATATACTTCAACCAAGGGCTATAGGCAAAGAGATTTAAATTAGAAGAAATCACCTGATTAAATTAAAACCAAGGAATTATAACATGATTTTTCTCCAACTCATTAATTTAATTATATAAACACAAAACCATGTAATTCCTTTATTTAAATCTAGAATATAACAAGAAAATGTAGCTTTCAGGATAAAATAGATATTAAAATATGGACTCATCATGCAATAATGACAATATCCTCATCCACAACGTATACTCCTGCAATAGACAAATAGTCCATAGCCTCCTTGATTTTTGGTAAGTACTGAGATACAAAATCATACCCTTTCTTAATTGTTTGCAGGTAAGACTTCATTTGGAAAATGCTAGTTTTAGATACTGTGGAAAATTGTTCTTCAAAGCGAATCCATAGATCTTTGGAATTGGCACTTCAAATAGCACAAGACATAGCCACTTGAGATAGAGAAACAATTATAAGTTGCATAATTGCTTGATCATGTATCATCCACTCCAAATATGCATCACTATCAGTAGAAGATGAAGAATCTGTTGAATTAAGTCCAAATTCACCAGACTGAGATGCATTGCATGGAGGACAAGGATTGAAACCATCCACAAATCCCATAATTGCATTACTTTCAAGCAATAATTGCATTTCGAAATATGCCAATTCAAGTAATTTGTATCATAAAGTTTAACATTCACATAAGTTGAAATTGACGAAACAAGAGATTGAAGAAGTTGCAATTAAGAAGGAGTTACCATTTTCACTGGCTTTGATCACTGACTTTGCATGCACTGTTCAAATGAACAGTGTTTAAGGGTGGATTTCACTTTATTTACAAAATTGCCACCGCATGCTGTTCATATTGGAGCTTTCCATATACTTACGAAATTGCCATCACTTCACACAATGAAAGGTAGCCCACACGTCTGTCATCGCTGCACCTCACTTCTTCTCCACTTTTTCTTTGTTTTTTTATTCTCTCTCGCCATTCTCAGTTTCTGCTACTCTCCACAAACCCAAATTTCTTCATATAGTTCTAGTATTCAACAACAAACCCAAAACCAAGATCCCTAAACCCAAATTTCTTCATTTTTTTCCCTCCTCGAGTTCTTGCTGGAGTGTCAGATGAGCAGATCCTCAAGTCCATTTTGTGCTCCTTAACAAGACCAACACGGTCGACTACACCATGGACATCCACAAGTCCTTCCATCACACTGAAGATGTTCCCCAAGATGATTATATAGACAACCCTTTTGTATTTATAGTTGAATGTATGTTTGCTTGTGGTAATTTTTATATAGGGTTAATCTCTATTTACTACCCTGAAGTTACGTGGTTTCAACATTAAGTACCTGAAATTTTTTTCATCTTAGATTCATACCTCAAGTCTTAATTTTGGGACAGTCTCATACACCCGTTAAGTTTTCTGTTAAGTCATCCGTTAACTAATGACGTGACACCCACGTGGACAATGACTGGGCGCCACATGTCAATAAGGTCCCACGTGGATATTAAAAAAAAAAGAACAAAAAAGTTCTTCCTCAACCCCGTTCTCACACACCCACATTCAATCTCACCCCCATAAAATCTAAAACCCTGATGCCCCGATTAAGGGGCTAGCTGATCACACAAGTCAAATTCTGAATTAAAATCCCAACAACCCAAACTTACTATCTTTAATTGCATGCCCTACAAAATTCTGACCAGAAAAAGAAAGAAAAAGACTCACAGAGGGTTTGCTGGGGATGATGCACTGCCACACCATCAAATTGATGGAGCCGTCCGAAACAGTCTCCTACTTCGCCACAAAACCCTAATTTAATTAATCAACCACAAGCTCAAACCAAATCCTGCAAATCTCTACCCTCATACTCCCCTCACCCTACTAGAAAGGGTAGTTGTTGTCTATGGCGACTGCCCCTTCGTCGTCTATACCACCACCACCTACACGTGGTCCCAAACCCACCACCGATGTCTCCAGCTAGCCTCCTCCCTCTCATCCCACCTCGGCATCAAACCTTTTCGCCCAGCCAGTCTCCACCCCTTATCGCACCCCACGCACCCTGCAATCCAGTCAATCCACCCACCCAACTTCCACCGCCGCCTCCTCCTTTGAACATCTTCTTCTTCTCCCTCCCTTCTCTAACCCTCATCTCTCTCCTTCTCTGGACACATTCGCTTTAATCCTCGCCACACCACATGCTCACAAATCAAAAATATCTGCTAACCCATTTCAATTTCAACATCACATTAGAAATCCCAACTCGGGAAATTTAATATTTTTTTTTACCAAATAAAGATAAATTGCAGAAGAAAACCCAAAAAAAGCTTCCAACTTTAAGAGAAAGCGAACAAAAAATGATAAAAAGTTGGAACCTTGGTATAACCGTGGAGCATCGGAATCTGGCGACATTGAGCATACATATAGCTCTTGGAGTAATAAAGGGAAGCACAGGAGCCCGCAAGAACGCCGATAGCTCCACCCCTCGCTGCACTCCATGCACCCAGCTCTCTGTTCATGAGCACATCTTTTGGGATTCCGATGGCTGATCTCAGCTTCTCTTCCATGGTTAACCCAAATCTGGGAATTGAGGGTGGGTGTGCGGAGGAGATAAGTGAGGGAGAGGGTCATGGGTTAGGGTAGGGTGCCCAAAAACCTTTCCTTTTTTTTTAATTGATTGGGTTGAGGGAGGGAGGGTTGGGGTAGAGGTCGGGGGTTGAGGGAGGGAGAAGGTTGGATTTGCAAATATAGGTGGAGGCCGATAAGGGGTTGAGGGAGGGAGGGGTTGAGGGAGGGAGAGGATTGGGGGTTGAGGGAGGGAGAGGGTTGGATTTGCAGATATGGGTGGAGGCGAGAAGGGAGGGAGAAAGGAGGGAAAAGGGTCGGGTTTGAGGAAGGACAGTTTTTTTTTTTTAATATCCACTTGGGAACCTTATTGACATGTGGCGCCCAGTCATTGTCCACGTGAGCGCCACATCATTAGTTAACGAATGACTTAACAGAAAACTTAATGGATGTATGAGACTGTCCCAAAATTAAGACTTGAGGTATGACTTTAGGATGAAAAAAAACTTCATGTACCAAATGTTGAAAACCACAAAACTTCAGGATAGTAAACAGAGATTAACCCTTATATATATATATATATATATATATATATATATATATATATATATAGGTATGTGTGTGTGTTTGTATATGCGCACCCATTAGGTGTTTGAAAATTTGTCTCTGTGGATGTTAATGTCTCTCCTCAAAGCTATGCCCCATCTCTCCACCCCACTCCTCGTCTAAGGTTTGGTTTAGAGTTTAGACCCCTGTTTGGTTTCCGAGAAAATCACAAGCTCAAATTTTCTCACACTTTTTCTCAATTTTTATGTTGGAATTGATAGGTTGCATTGAAGGAGGTTATCGAGAAGGTTCTCGCTGAGCCAATACGGCTTCATTTCATTGTGGCTAATATTAGATTTTATAAAAACTTTCAAATATATCCAAAATATCACTTAAATAGACACAAATACACTTAAGGTTTAAACCTAATAAATTAAAAAAACTAAAACCCTATTAGATAGAGTTCTCACGGCAAAACCTAAAAAATGATGGAGACATAGGGAAGACATCGATTGTTGGTGGAAACTTGTGCACCCCTAAACGCAGGTGAGTGTAGATAGTTAATTTCTTGCATTTTTCCTCATCTACGTTTTCTCGTTACTTTTGTAGCTTCTTCCTTCGATTGAATATTTATCGAAGAATGAGCTGTCAATATATGTAACATTATTTATCTCAATTTTCCTTTGGATTATATGTGCTTCGTATTTAATTTTCCACACCCTTGCATTATTATGGGTGTTGTCCGTGTCTGAATTCAGTTTTGAAGGTTATCACTGACTGCTAGTGAATCAAGAGACGATTGTGTTCTTAGAAAGTGCAAAAAGCATATTAGAAAAAATTAGGTTTCATTTTGTCAATGGAAGTTTAAGATTGCTAAAACCATTTGTTTTAATTTATTAAGTTTAAAGCTTAGGGTATTTATGTCTGTTTAAGTGATATTTTTTATATATTTGAAATGTTTTATAAAAACTGAAATTTTTGAAATTAGGGGCTAATATTTGGCTATATTTGATAAATACTCTTGGATTGTATGACATTTTGTAAGCATGTATGTGTTCTTACTCATGTCAACCCTTTAATCTTTATTAGTATATAATTTAGTTACATTTTGATTAAGAGAAGCAAATTATGGATTTTTCTTTTGTTGTTTGTTTGAAATTAAAGATATAAAAAAAAATTGGGGTCCAGTGTTCCATTCATCATTTCTACTTCAAGGGGAATTTTTGGAAGCTCTTACGCATGAATTCAGTAGTAGGAAAAACTATTTGCGCGACAGATGTTTGGGTGACAAAGAAACATTTGCCGCTCAAGTGCGTTCTTCGCAATGAAACAATATATTTGTTGCGCAAGAATGCACGACGAAAAAAGATACTCTTTGCGCAAAGGCAGTAACCTTGGGTGACAAAGGCTATTGCCTTTGCGCGAAAAAATTGCGCGATGAAGTTTTTCCCGCTGAAACCTTGGGCAACAAAGGCTTCGTCACGCAAAGTTCGTTGAGTTTTTGGGTCAAAGCATTGAGTCCATGCGCATCCGCGAAACACTTGCGCGACAAAGGCTTCGTCGTGCAAAGTCCAGTCAATTTTTGAGTCAGAGCATTCAGTGCATATGAATCAGAGGAATCAATACTGTATTTAGTGCAGATGTTTGCGACAAAGGCTTCGTTGCGCAAAGTCCATAACCTTCCTATAAATATGCGCTTCTGCTCTCCTTATTCTTCACAATTCTATTCGTGCTCAAATGGAGGGAAAAAATCGGGAGCAAAGCATGCCCTCCGAGCCCTATGATATGAGGCAATATGTGGAGTTTGCACATGTGATTGGTGTAGGAATGCAGAATAATTGTCCTACTGCTGAGTGGCGTTCTTGGAAATGTGTGCCTGAAAATGTGAAAAAGGCAGTGATAGATCAATTATTAGTAAGTGTGACAAATGTTGAAAATAATTAGTTTTGTGAATTTTTTTGTTATATGTCGGAATTAACTATACTGTTGATGATACAAACAAAGAGTTGATGAAGTTGATCGAGGAGGCGTTGAAGGGGGTTACAAGCGGTGGTGTTATGACGTGGAGCTGATTGGAGGACCAACGAAACAATAGTTTTAAATTTATGTTTTTTAGGACAATATTTAATTTAAGGTTTTTTATAGGTTATGTAGTTGGACTTAATTAGGCTTTAATTCATGTTTTGTTGTTTAAAAAATTGCATGGATTAATTCAATTTATTTAAGTTTTTAATTATTTTTAGGATAAATGTAATAACTGAATGTTTGTTTGTAATTATGAAGTTTACATAAATATAGATACTAAAGATCTATGTCTACGTAAACTTCATAATTACAATCAATTACATTTGTCACAAAAATTTTAGCGACGAAAGTTTTGTTGTGCAAAGGGCTCAAAAAACGCAAATAACTTTACTGCCATATTTCGAATCTATATGTTTTGTGCAATGAAACATTCGTCGCATCAGGTGATAAAATCTTGGGCGACAAAGGCTTCGTTGCGCAAAGATCATTCAGTTTTTAGGTCAGAGCATTCAGTGCATGTGAATCAAAGGAATCAAAGTTGTATTTAGTGCGGATATTTGTGCAACAAGGCTTCATCACACAAAGTCCCTATCCTTCCTATAAATATGCGCTTCTGCTCTCCTTATTCATCGGAATGCATTTTGGAAACGTTTTACAATTTTGTAAATTATAATCAATTTGTTCTTTGATTGTTGGTGTGATGGTATGTGTTCATCAGAGACAATGGATGGCCAAGGTTCTGGAAAAGGTTTGCATTGTAAATTTTGCATTTTGTATAAAGTTTTTATTTAGCTTTAGTAATATATATTTTGTTGATAGACAATAAGAAAATAGTTGCGATACGGGTCCAACACACTTATGGTGGGAACTGTTACTGAATCATTGCTGACAAATTAATAGGGGTTGTGAAGTCAGATATGCGCACCAGCTTTTGGTCCGATGTTGGAGTATTGGTGAGTAACAATTGTGCTGCGGATTGGAAGTCTTGGAGAGCCATCCCCTCAAAGCTAAAGATGCACTTGATTGATGAGTTAGCTGTATGTGTTAAGTTATTAGTTAAATAATAATTATGTTTGTTAAATTTAATATAATATTGAGATTTTAATTTATTAACTTTCACATGACAACCTAATTGGAACATTGACAAAAGTAAGCCAAATATGATAAAGGCAATCGACAACATGTTCAAGTCTCGTTTTCGGGAGTGAAAGTTTGATAATTAATGTGCGGCAGAACTACAATGAGAACCAAAACTATCGACAGAGGAGTAGAATAATGTTTTTTATTTTAATTTTAGTGCTTATTTAATAATGAGATTTGAATTAGAAGTTTGTTATTATGAACGGTTTACTTAAATATGTATTTAATGTTTATTTTGAATAAAATTAATGCATTTTAATAAATATTTATATTAATTAATTATGCACAAATAGTTTAATGAAATAAGTTCTTGATTTATTAAGTATTTATATGATTTGAAAAACATTGAAGACGAAATGGAAAAATTCAATTTTTTTTTTTAAAGAAAAAGGTAATGCGCGACAAACTATGGTTCATCACACAAAGTGTTATAAAAAATGCAGCAAAACGTAGTTGGATTAAGCCCAAAGTGGAAGCACCATGTTTTGAGTAACAGTGATTTCGTCGTGCAAAGTCTTTTCACTTTACTGAATTTAATCAGAATGCAGGAAGGCATAAGCTGCAAAACAATTGCAGCAGCTGCCTTCCTGCTAGAATTTCCTACCATTCTAGCTTTGTTGCCGTTAATCTTGGAGTTATATTTTCTTAACTAACTTATTTAATTTCCATTCATTTAAATTGTTTTGTATGTAGTTTATAGTTGTTGTGAGTTTATGTATTTGTATGCAAACATTCTTTTATGGATGAACCCAAAAATGGTTTGCAATGTTCATATGAGCTTAGTTTCTTGTTTGAGAATTAGTTGGATTTCGCGAATAGATGCGAAAGCATGATTGCGGTCCAATTAATTCTTGAATTATCCCAAAAATTTTGGACAGTTTGAGAATGCACAGTTACATGTTGTATTTTGCGGTTCACGCATTAGAGTTTGAATGTGGGAAATTTGGTAGCATCTCTTTGCGTTCTTCGGGTGCATCGTACTTTTTTGTATCTACGTTGTGCACTTGAAGAACTGCAAGGAGATATCTTCCAAAATTTTCTCACGATCGAACTCTAATGTGTTGGAACCGTAAATTACAGCAAGTAATTGTGCATTCTCAAATGAGATAGGACCCATACCGAAGGCATAAGATGGCATGTCATAATTGAAGTTGTTGTAACCCTTGTAAATTTTTTATGTTTGCAGGTGATATGGACAAACAGTGGATACATAATCCTAATAGATGTGCTGATGATTATTTGGATGGAATAAATCAGTTCATTGATTTTGCAATTGCAAACAGCCGAGGTT